ATGAAAGCAGCCAATGAATCTCAATATTGGACAGAGATGGCTAAAGCCACGTGCAGGTACTATGCTCGGCGGTGCTCATTGTTCAGTAGAGTAGTTAAACAGCTATGAGGATATCCCTCCGCGGGCATATGGCCTTACACAACAACGCTCTGCCAGCTTTCCCTCTCCAATGATGATTGTTGATATGGCTTTCTCTCGATCGGCCAGCTTATAAATACCACAAACAAAGGAGCGCTAGGTCCCTGCAAATCCACATCGAAGGGTGTGGGCTTTGCTATTAAAACGACCACAGAAATTCATAATTTATAATCAGTATTGGCTAACATGAAGTCAGTTGTGAGCAGTGCTTCCTGTTTAATAGTACATCGTACTACGTTAATCGGTGCTGATCTTCTACTTATCGGGTGTTGTTTCATCATTTTAAACTGTCAGCTCCTGCTCATTTGAATAAGTGGCAGTTCTCTTCAGACATTCTTTGACAGAATTTTCATTGAGTAGCGCGAAACTAGTCATAAGAGCACCGAATTAGAGGTTTAAGTTCAGTGACGATGTTGTTATTCCGGTGTGACATATTCAAATATGACAATATATGACAAAGGTATTATATCGCACTCCCGACACAAGTATTAGCTATTAGCCCAGACACATGTTCCACCGATATTCTGCCGCTTCATGACACAGTTAGTACCTGTGTCGGAAGTACGGTATACTACCTTTGCCATGTACATTTTGTATTACTTGCAGTGCTACTCGTTTGTGGAATATGCATTACGTGGTTAATCCATAATAATTGGTTGTCTTCGACTCTAATATTCACTGAAATTTCGAGTTAGACCACAAAATGTCACGTCGAGGAGACTTCACTCCATAGCCCGCAGTAAGTAATATTTTGAAAATTATTAGCTTGATAGAAATATAACGATTATTAGATGATATAGAATCATCTCTGCGAATCCTCAACTTCGTCTTAGGACACTCAAAAATGAACCATAAACCTAAATTGGGAATATTTTCAGATGACAATAAAAGTATATTTCTTATGCCTTCACAGATATGCCGGAGACACATGCGTCGGAAATGTTGCACACCCACCCAGGGACTCCAGAAAAGGTAACAAGTACAAATATTTCAGGATTATGGATTTGAAACTGCTTGCTTTGCCTCTTTTATGAGTGCAACTGAGTGAGGCATAAAATTCGAAAACTGCCGTAAGATCATTCCACATTCCCGACTTTTACGGCTGTCCCATGAGACTGCAGCACAATGCATGCAGTGTAGCATTCAGATAGCGCCAGTGGCATTGCTTTGGGCGGACAGTAATCCATGCAATAGGAACTAGTCGAAATATGTTTCGCTATATTCTCACTCCGCCAATTAGCAGAAACTCAACTGACTCCAATAAACAGCCCCAGTACAAATAATACAAATAATATTTGCACGTTCTTCCAACTATTTCCCATGACAGCTGCAGTTTGTTGCAACGCTCCCTGACTTAATCCTTTTATCCCACTGTAACTTAGGGCTTCCTGTATGTCTTACTGATTTCTTGGGAACTAGCGAGGTAATTAGTCCAGATCATAAATGAACGCCTGCCTACTGCGTGCAGACTGAGTGGAATTTGTAATTTGAGCCTTGACTTATTTTTATTCCTTCTTCGTCCTCTTTTCTCGGTGTGCAATATGCCTGAAAAAAAGTGAAAATTATCTTTCCGTTATGTATGTTTACATAATTTCCCTCTTCTTTTACCACGAAAGTTTCCCCACAGTGTCACTGGCGTGAATACGACCAATCCTAGTTCTACTACACGCATGCAAGACGATAAAGACCGGCCTTACCTCACGTCCATGTCGAACTTAGAATCCGACCGCAACAGGGACAATTCTGTTGACAGTCTGGGCAGCCCGGACCCCCTGCTGCCACATGTTTCTCATAGCGACTGTAAGTTTCGGCCGAATTGCAGCTATCATTCTGTATTATGCGTATACTGACTGAAATAACAGGTTCTGCTTACTACCCCGGAAATAAGCAGGAATTAATATGAAGAAATAATATACGAACTAAAGGACACCGCCAACACATTTACGGCGTATTTGTTAGTCAACATCCACGATATTGTTCGCTGTTCAGTATTCCGCGAATCGCATGCACTGGCAGTTGTACATGCTAGCATCTAATAAACAAATAGTCGGCGGATCAATTTTTTGTGAATCAGCAAATCCGATGAGTCATATGTGGCAGGAAACCTCTGCCCTAAAATGTGACCCTCTAGGGTGTTTATTATGAATGTCAGTTGGCAGCCACCCAACAATTACGACCATGTATCAACACGTGCAAAGCCCTGCCATCTGTACTGAAGACCTTCGAACATTGCCTGAGAGAAAGACGATTTTCACTGCTCAGGGCTGGCAGCAGCGAATGCTCAAGTACATGTTTCTACATGCACAAGACACAAGCACCCGAACGGAGGTCTAGTAGAAGCAAGCTGCTATCGACATTGTGAAGACGACAAGCAAACATCTGCTGAGAGCACGTTGGCGAATGTCACACTGCCACTCCCCACCTTCTCCCTTGTCCAACCTAACGAAAATGGTCACCCAGAAGACCTTGTTACTCTCAGCTCCATGTTTAAATATTTTTCAGATGGAAGTGTTTGCTCGGCTGGCGTGACATGCCAAAGAGGGAAAATACGGTGCTTGGCTGTTAGAAATAAACGTTTTATTTTCTGATAACTCTGCCATTATAGCCAGTGTTGAATTTTTTAGTGTTGTTTATGCTGGACAATAAATTTCTTAAAATGCAGTAAAGAACCTGATCTCCGAGCAGCACATACCGATGGGCTTGCAATTCGGAAGGGTTACACAAATATGGACGAATAAGCCGACTTGCACTGAAAATAACCCTGGGGTAATCTATACAAAGTTGCGTGGTAGCTTTTGATCGACCGCTTTTCCAGCAAGCAACCTAAGTAGCATCGACAAAAACCTGCTTCTAGTCTACATTTGTCCACCACTTTCCTTAACTTCCAGATATGGAGATGATTGAATATGCAGCCTCCAGTTGTTATTGCTCCGAAGTACCTTCTCACTCCTTCTAGAAGTGTATGTCATATGAAGATCACGTTTGCAGTTAAAATTTACGACGCTTACCCCATTTAACGCTATGGCTAGAGTGAGGCTGAAGATTAGGAGTTGGGCAAAGAATTAGGTTGGGTTTAGAGGTAGGACTAAATTTTCCTGCCGCATAACAGATCGACAGTCGTTACCGCCGACGTCCATCGTGTGTTCTGCAGCGGGGTGGGGTTTGGGATAATGGATTGTGCGTGAATTAACTTACGGTGATAGCTGACCTGCTCAGCGTCTACCGCAATCTCTCCTCCCCTTCCCCCACCTGGGTTCGGCGTCAGAAGGACTAGTCCGATTCCCCGCATCTGCCTAGAGTAAAAGTTGAGTGCTAATGAAATATTGCCCAAACTCATAATTATTGCTCATATAACCAACCACATGTAAGCTCATATATTCAAGTGAGAAAAGGTACAGTAAAGCAAAGGGTACAGTAAAAACTCTGAAATCGCAGATCTTTTAGAAATTAACCAAATTTAATAAGTTACTAAAGGAGAGACCGAATTCCCTTTTCTCTGACAATCGAGGATAGTAGATGATTGGACTACCAATTTTAAACAATAGAATTACCTTTTTGCATCTGACGTGAATAGACGGTAATGCTTTCAGACAAGTTCTTGTTGGCTACATCTCATGCTAAAAGTTATGGACTGCTAAACTACACGTGTGATTGAAACTCAGATAATACCCGTGTTCAAACAGTAATCGGAGGCAAAATTTCCTCGGCATGTCTCCTTCGTCTGTGCAAGACTATCATTAATGCATGACAATTGAAACCATAAATGTACAGAGAGGGGCTACCTAAATGCTACCCTAGATCCTTAATATCTGGAATAGCTTTCAAGACCAAGCAGACAAAAATACTTTAATGACACCCCAACACGATATGATCGTCTACGTGTAGGTTTGTTATGCACAGGATAGAATGCTGAGACAGTCTCCCTAACAAGACACTTTCGACTACATTCTCTCAAAATAGTGTCGAACAAAAACATTGCATCCGAATCCACCGCCTCCGGCACATGTTCACAGAGGGAAACAAGTGTTTGCACCGTCGCACCGACTGCAAAAGAGTCTACCTCCCCCATCGTCTCCACCCACCACTTCCCCTCCTGTTTGCCCTCGCCCATTCTACCATCAGGATTTGCGTATGTGGGACGAAATGGAAACGAAGAGAAAAGTGCAACAGCCCCCGAATTTGCGCAATCTTCAACTCATGTATCGCCTTCCAGTCGCCCAAATCTGAAGCGACCACAATCAGACCGCCCGACGGACTGTCTACACTGTTCTGCAAAGGTCGACGATAATATTTGTCCTCAAAAGTGTATGCGGCAAACCCCAAGGACACCCATCTCCCTTCCTGCAGCCATATGCACGACCGAATCTCATGAATCCTCTCCTAGCCTCGCTACTCTGGTGTCCAGCACCCCAGTCACTACAATTACTCCAAGTAGTAATCAGCGGCAGTGTGACGTGTGCATGAACCTGCGTAGATGCAAAGGCGAATGTCAGGCAGAAATGACTGCCAAGATGCTCCTTGGAAAGACACATGAATTTCTTGTGGAGATAAATAGACGACCACTGGAGTTGGTGAAGCCGTTGGTGAATGCGCTTCAGCGTCTACTTTTTACTATGGAAGCCAATGTTTTTGTAGCATACATGAACGAGTTGTTACCTGAGGCCTCCCGAAATGCTCTCGAAAATCCCTACCTTAAGCGGATTCTTTCTCAACCCAGATTCCCAATTGAAAAGCCACAAAGTGTAGCCAGAACCACATTAGAACAACCGTCGAATGTCTTGTATGCGGGCTTTCAGGAGGCAACTGGGTTTAGTAAAAATGTCGGTGGTTTTAAATGCCAATGTTCAGCAGGCGGTCTCAAAGGGACGATTTTCGATCAGCAGGAGTATGGACCCAGTCATTACTGCAGTGGCATGGTTCCTTTCGGTTCACAATTGGCGACGTCTAGCCCTCGAAGTATGCAGTCGACTACCTCTGTCCACAGCGGTCTCCAGATTTCTTCGAAACAGGCATCGCGGCTGCAGGAAACAGACACTCATCGGGCGTCCTGGTACAAAAGCCTGGCCTGCGAGGCCACTCGCCTACATCAGTGATGCATTCAATGCGCACCGGTGTTGTTTGACATTACTAGACTTGTACATATATTTTCCATTTTTAAATATCGTGTTTCTTTTTGTCCGCGAGGAAGTTGGCAAAAGACCGAAAATGTCGTTTGCGGTTAAAGTGCGCGACCGTGTGTTCCTCAAAAAATCGACGCCTTCACAAGGAGTCGTCAGTGTTGCACTGAGCCTGGGGAACACCGAGAGTTTATTTTGGACAT